GCAACCACTTCAGAACTGGAATGGATCAGCTATCTGTGCAAAGATCTTGTTGTGCCTTTGCAACTACCTATCATTTTATTCTGTGATAACAAGGCAGCCATTCACATTGCTTCAAACCCTGTCTTCCATGAACGAACGAAGCACCTCAACATAGATTGCCATTACACTCGAAATAAAATTTCTGAAGGGTTCCTACAGACAGCATTTGTTCCTTCAAGACTGCAACTTGCAGACATTCTTACCAAGCCATTAGGCGCAGTCAGTCACTGGGATTTGGCTTCAAGGATGGGCCTGTTACGTTCACCTCCCAGTCCACCTTGAGGGGGGGATGTAGAGTATATTGGGCTGTATGTAATACATATTGGGCCACAACAAATATCTTGGGCTACCAGCTTTCTTGTTAGTTAGTTGGGGTTTGTTATCTTCTTGTTAGTTAGTTAGCATTCTGTTAGATGGGCTCATATGCCTCTTTAAATACTGCTTCTGTATTCCTGTTATGATGATGAAATACGAGATATTCTTCTTCTTCTTCATTTTCATTCTCTCGCCATTAGCTTTACACATAATCTTGTCACATGTCTTAAGGAGCTTTAAATGTAGTTTTATAATTATTAAATTTATTTTTTTAGATTTTACGTTAATATTCTAAACAATTGAATTGAAAATAATCCCTGTCAAACATTGGTAAATTGAATTTCATGCAGTGCGGTTAATAAAGTCAGTGCTTAATAGCTATTCCAGTCAAGGAGCATAAAAATCAAGCTGCCAAACATGCACTAATTTATACTTGAAGAGTTTGTTTAGTGAATATGTTTGTATGTGAAGTGATGCACAATCTGTCACAAACTCTGAGTGCATATTGTTTCTAGTTTTCCTGTTCTCCTCATGTGTACTTGGTTAGCGTTGGTGAATTTTGCAGATGTTTTTTTCCCGCATTTTTCTTTTGAGTGCTCTATAAGTTCTTGAACATAACGAAGCTTTTGATATGAGTGTAGGTGGGATGGTGGGCTGGAATTTCAGATAGTGATCCTTATGGGCACATTATCCGTATAAGTGCTGAGTATGGAAGATATGTGGCTAGAAGTTATACACCAAGGTAAATTACTTGATTGAAGGCCTCCTTTTAATGATTCCCCTTGAAGAAGGACAAGAAAGAGATACTTTAGCTTTATTTTGTAAATTATTGTGAATATATAGTAATATACTAATTGGGATATGCATCCAATTTTCAGACAGCTTGCCTCTTCAATGGATGGTTCCCCCATCTTTGAGATATTTCTGACAATGAAAAAGAAAAACAAATACAAGCTGCAGGTACTACTTTAAAAGCATATGGGTTTTCCCTAAATTACTGTTCAAGTGTTGAAGCAAGTTACATTTTTACATGGTGCTCACCCACAGGGGTGGGGGTGAGGGGGAGAGTTGGTGTATCCACTGCATTAAGCGTCTATACGACAAGTAATATAATTATTTCCCTACACATGTACGAGAATGAGAGTTGTAGTGATATATTGCTTTAGTAGTAATCTTGGACAGTTTGACAACTCCAATTGCATGCACATGTAAATTTTCATTTTCAAGTTTACCCTTATTTAATCACCCCCATTGAACTTAAAGGCTACTCTTATATGGAGTATATGATATTGTAAACTTTGCAAAGTTGTAAAACAAGTGAAAAACAACAATGAATCCAGTTTAATCCCATCTCTTTTGGGGCCAAGATGTACCCAACCTTACTTCGTTTTAGAAAGGTTTCTTTTGTTAGACCCTTGAAAAGGGTATAAATAAGAATAACATTCAAAATTAATTGTTCCAACAAACTTAACAATCATTTCATATTTCTCGTGGAAACTGGAAAGACATGATAGACTAATTTACAATCATTGTGTGACATGTGGAAAATATTGTATCTTTCTTCATTAGCCAGTAACTTTGAGATTTGTGTGAATCATGTTCTTAGGCTGTCTACTTAAAGCGGATAGTAGCTGCTCGGGATTCAACAATTTCTTCCTCCAAAGCATCTGCTGCTGCGAGTAACTTGGACACTCTGAGTCCAACTGAAAATAAAAATGATCTTTTTGGAAACGACAATGAATTTCCAGAAGATGACGAGGATAGTGATGATGAGTCTGGTTTTGTGAATGCATTACGAGATATGATTCCTGGTATGAAGGTCAAGGTTTTGAAAGTAACAGCTCCAGCTAAGGCGGACCGAGATTTATTTTCGAAGATGATTGAACAAATAATTGAAGATGAAGATGAAGAGGAAGATGAAGAAGAAGACGAAGAGGAAGAAGTTAGGGAAATAGACACTGATATAGGAAGTGTGGGTGCCGCAGAGGAAGTTGAAGATAAAAGCAGCACGGAGCAGAATGCAATTGAAATCAATACAAATCGTGGGACTGGTGATGGTGATGAACAAAGCCAGATTTCTTTTAAGGTTTTTGTCAGTGGCCCTGTACGGAAAGTCTCAAGTGATGATCGCAATAACGTTTTTCTGCGTGTACCGGCTAGGTTGGAAAGAAAGGGTCATTTAACATTTACTTTTACTATAGAGGAAGACAATTTACAAACTTCTGGCAGCAAAGAAACTTTGCCAAATAGAAATCCAAAATTCCAGAGTCAACGGAGTGTAGACCATCTAATGCTTGATCTTGCAAAGTCTATTGCTAGGGGAAAAATCCCTACAAAGGTTAGAGTTGCTAAGTTTGTTTTTCTGGCTCTTATTTTATTTCTTACTGTTAGTGTTTGTTATAGATTTGTCATATTTACCTTAGAAACATGCAGGTGCTTAAAGATGTGAGTGAGCTGTTAACTCTTACTCTAAATCAGGCTAGAAGTCCCCAACAATTGCCAAAATCAACAACTTTTAGTCGCATTGAGATCCCCTCCTCTCATGACCCATTAAATGGTGACAAATTACTCTTTTCATATTGACTTCTGTATCATTATTGTCCCAACTTTTATTTTCTATACTCTGTTATATTCTAATATTCGTCAATGGCATTGGTCTCGCGCATTGCAAGTGGATCTAAAAGAGTTGCTATTGATAATGTTTTAGTTCCGGGCACATAATGGACTAAATCCAAATGGAACATTAAACTTCCCTTGATTCTTTTTGTGAAGTTTTGGGATGTGAGTGAAGTTTTGGGATGTAAATGCAGCACCAAACCCCGATGTGCTTGGGAATATGCTGGGTTGTTGTTTGTATGGTCATTGATATATTGGGTTGTTGTTGTTGTAGATTCATTAATGATACTCTTATTTTTATTAGGCCTATATGTTGGTGTACCTGGTATTCAGTCTTCAGAAGTGATCCACCTAAGGCGCAGATTTGGCCAGTGGAAAGAAGATGTTAAAACGAAGGAGTCACCTATGGTTCAATTTCATGAATATGTTGAGGCTGTAAAATTAACTGGAGATTCTAATGTGCCTGCTGGCCAGGTAATTCATTAAGTAACTTAAGTACTAATTTCTGTGTTATGATATAAAAAATGTATGTAACCTTCTACTTTTGATCTCTTGCTAAATCATAATTAAATCATAGTTTTTCTTTGGCAGGTTGCCTTCCGTGCAAAAATTGGAAAACAATATCAACTTCCACATAAAGGGATTTTTCCAGAAGAATTTGGGGTGGTATGTGGGCAAATTAAACCGTACATACGGATGTACCTCTTTCTATGTACATCCAATGAATATTATTTAACTCGTAAATGTGTATACATTATTTGTATAATGTGCACACTTTTAACATGTACAAAAAAATCAACTTTTTTGCCAATTCATTTTCAAGATTTTGTTTTGTTCTTTCGTATATGGGAAGTAAAATTCTTTTAACAATGAAACGAGCATTGTGCAATAATTAAATGTGCAAACATCAATTGCATAACATTCATACTTTAAGTATATGCAAAAAATGTGCGATATGAATAATATGTACTCCATAACTTGTAAATATGCATATGTCAGATGTACAAAAAACATCGTAGATTGAGATGTATTATATTGGAATTCCGGTATGTGTAGTTGTGAAAGGTGTAAGCCTAGATTTCATCCCGTTCATGCATTTTCCAGTCTTATGCCATTTTGGCATCACTGACATAACTCACACTCGTATGCAAGTGCACATAAACCCACATACCTTTTCTCTCTAAGGATCAGTTGTGTTTTATCAATAATGCAGATTGCTCGGTATAAGGGGCAAGGAAGGCTGGCCGAGCCAGGATTTCAAAATCCTCGATGGGTTGCCGGAGAGCTAGTAATTCTGGATGGAAAGGTTTCCATCTCTTTCTCCCTCTCAATATTTAGTGGTATATTGTGTGCACCAATCTACCCATAGTTCTTTTTTTGCATTCTTTTTCATTGAACGCTCACATTTAGAAGCTACTATGGCAGATGATGATGTTGAGGTTGATGTATGGTCATACACATATGGTTAGGATTTGAAATGATGGGGAGAATACATTGTGGGAAGCTAGATTGAGATTGTTGGTGCCCATAGTAAAGAGTAGTACAGATACCCCAGTGAGGACGTGTGAGAGGCTTGAGGAAGGGGTTGCAAGGAGGGGTAGAGATAGACTTAAAAATAGTTGGAAGGAGGTGATTAAACAAGACTTACAGCTTCATGATCTTATCGAGGATATGGACTTAGACAAGAACGCTTGGAAGTCTAGGATTAAAGGGGTGGAGTAGACATGTGATCCTTAGTTTGAAATTTGTGTGCGCGCTTTGTACCTAAGTTTATAGCTTCTGCTTACCTGTTTGGTTTTGTATGTGCTCCTAGTTTGTGTTTGTCGTTGAGTATCTCTTGGAAACAATCTCTGTAGGAATTTTAACGGGTCTGATGTCGTTGTTTTGCATTATTTCACGTTCATTTGATTTTTACAGTACATCAAAGGAGGGCCTGTCGTCGGGTTTGTATACTGGGCCACTGAGTATCATTTCTTGCTTTTCTTTCATCGCCTAAGGCTGCCAGAGTAGATTACAACTGCACATGCAGGTCGATCTGTTTATTCTTTCCTCAAATTTTGAAGGTATGTTGTCTCTCGTATCCTCCATACAAAATAACAACAACAACAACAACAACGGAAAGGATCTTTTGACTCTTGAGCCCCGGGTCATATTATGACCCGGGGCCCTACGGTGCTCCGTTCGTATCCTACCCCCCCCCTACGAACCATCAATTTTACAAACGGAGCTCCGTAGGGGCCCGGGTCATAATATGACCCAAGGTTCAAGGGTCAAAAGAACCATTTTGTAATAATAATAATAATAGTAATAGTAATAGTAATAATAATAATAATAGTAATAGTAATAATAATAATAGTAATAATAATAATAATGATAATAATAATAATAATATGGTTAATAATAATAATAGTAATAATAATAACGCCTCTTACATTTCTGCATTTCTTTGACTCAAGTATTTCCCATTTCCTCTTATTTCTCATTAGGACCAAACCTTACAATTTGTTTTGATGTTCTATTATCATTATGATGTAGGTCAATTTCAAAGGGCCTTCTGACTTGAGTTGCAGATTCAGAAAGCTAAGTTTTGATGTAATATTAGTATTTGAATAATCATAAGTTTGCATTTCTTTTTTCTATTTCTACACAGTCCTGAAATTCTCAGTCCATTTAGTTTTTTTTGTTTTTTTTTGCTCTAACTCATAATTACAATAATGTAAATATGCTGCTGTTAGTATATATATTTTGGCATTAATTATATATTGGAAGGAATGAGAAACTTTGCTCCAAATGCACTGGTTGTTACAATGTATGCTAAATAGAGTATTCCCAATATATGAGTTTGTACCGTGATAATGTGACACTATATATGGACATTTGATAATACTTTTTGGTAATATATATTGTTAGGATTAACTATGTATATGCATTTTAACTCTTATACGAGGAATAAAAGCATATAACTCCTATCTTGGTAAATTTTTTATGTTTTACTCTAACTTTAATATTTATCCTTCTTATATTATACAATCTTTTGAATTAATTTTTCTACCGTTACGTCGATTTTGTTCATAACTTTTTATATGTAAGTCATTATTTAACAAATAATATGACTTGCTTATATTTTTGTCCAGACATTTTTGAATTGAAATACTCACGTTTTCTTTTGGAATGAAACACATTTTAAGACTGAATTATGTCTTGCTTTTATTTTTTCTTTTAAATTAAACTAATTTTTTTTGTTTTGCTATAAAAAAGTACAAAGTAAAAGAGAATTTTTACAAAAAAAGTCATTTTTTTGTTGAACGGAAAAGAAAAATATTACGGAGTACATAGTAAAATGTGGCATATGAAACAACATTACATAAAAAAGTAAAGAAAAACAAAAAGAATTGAACGAAAATGAAAAATATTAAAACCAAAAAATAAAAGATATTTGTGGTAATCCTATGTTTAGATGTGGAATAAAGTTATTGTTTATTTTTAGAAATACAAAAAAAGAATAAATTTTAAATTTTAATTTATAAGATATAATTTAATTTCAGTAGAAAAATGTTATTATTAAATTAAAATAGTGGTGTAATTAATGCAGTATAAGTAGATCACTATGGGTTCTAAATTGATAACCGAAAATTCGATTACCGTCCGCATATGTATCTGTTTACATGAAAAATATCTGCATAGTGGTTATTATCCATATTCGATAAAGGACATCCGATTAGTAGATGGATACGGATTTGGTAATAATATATCTGATCTGTTTATAATCAGTCCACGTAAACATTTGTTTGAGTAATCGTTTATCGTGTATCCGATATGTTATATATTGTTTTCCTAATATTTTATTTTTATATTTTATTTTTCTATTGACATCTCAAAGTATAAGATATTTTATACGCATAATATATGTCTAGACACATAAAAATATGTCTTTACACAGAACAATGTGTGTATGTTAGTACATTTATCTTTTTACCATATGGGGCTGTCGTAGAATATTATAAATCACAAAAAAATAATAAAAAGATTACTCTATAACAAATTACAATTGAATGAATAAAAAGTTGACTTTAGTTTAATTTGAATTTAGAGTATTGCTCAATTTGACTTTATAAATTGGAAACATATATGGATATATCTGATATCCGATCGATATCTGACGGATGCTGATATAGTTTTCATTTTTAGTATCCGTCAAGATTCGTATCCAAATTTGATATCTGGCAAAAGTAAACGGATATGGATCTAGTAATGGCACAACAGATCCGATTAATATCCGTTGATACCCTTAACTATGAGTGTTGATTGAAAAAGATGAGTGTAGTCATCGTTCATGCAGTATTGAGTAACTACTGGTTTGAAGTGAGTGATTCAGATAAACCAAATAAGTAAACTTTCCCCCCCATTCTTCATTTCATTATACTTGTTTGTTAGGGTAGACCGAATACCTAACATATATTCCCTCCGTCCTATAATGTTATTCTCGATTTTATTTACGAGATTTGACCGACTTTATTTTCAAATCAATTTATTTGATTGTATGTGTAACATTAAAAAATAAAATTTATATATTTAAAAACTAAATCAAAAATTCTACAAAAAAGTGGTGACAAGACTATATTATGTTATCAAATACCTAATTAAAATCGGTAAATAAAGTGATTAAAGTTTGACTGCGTGAAAAGTAAATGAGAAGAACATTTTAAGGCAGAGGGAGCAGTGCTTTTTTTACTACATTTCTCTCATCTACATCATTGCTACATTAGGTTTCACAATTTTCATACTTCTGCTATTATAAGTAAAGGTATATATGTTGATTAACCAACTTATCGCAACAATTTTCAAATAATTAACTACACTAATACTCCATTATATGAATTAATTTGAAAATAGTATTTAAATTATCAGCTTTAACTAATATTCCAAAATAATAATTAAATTTTTACCGCAACAATTTTCAAATAAATTTTTAACTAATAATAATTAATAATAACGACAATAAAAATTCAGAACAATCATTATTTGTAAATATAATAATAATTTATAATCTTCATCATTAATCATAACACGTAATTATTATTATTATTTTTTATATTAATTATAAATAAAATTATTAAAATAATAATAATTAATAATTAAAATTAGTATTATCAATAGTAAAAATTATTTTTTAATATTATTAAAAATACTTAATAAAATAAATCTTAATAAATTATTATTATTATTATTATTATTACTTTTATTATAATAAATTATAATTAATAATGATAATCATCATCATTAATTACACACTTAATAATAATAATAGAATTATAAAAAATTATGATAGTAATAGTAATAAATTAGTAATTACAATTATAATTAATAATAAGAAAAATTGTTATTGTTGTACTATTAACAAAAAATATTTAAAACAATTAATAATAAATTACTTTTATTATTATTATTATTAATATCATATATTATAATTGATATTGATAATCATCATCAATACTCATAACACTTTATATTTACAGCAATAATACTAAAAATTAAATATAATAATATGATTAAATATAAATATTAAATTAATTATGATAATACTATTATTAATATTACTAAAAATTATTAAAATAACATCATTAATAATAAAATTATTATTTTACTATATCTCCAATAATTAATAATAATTATTTATAATAATTGTTAGTAATCATTACGAAGAATAATTAATAATCAATTATTATTATTAATATATAAATAATAATAATAACTTAGATTTGGATTTAATACATTCAGATCACATCTTTAAAGGAGATGAGACCCACAAACTTTTTTTTTCACAATCGCAGACTCTAGAAGGTTTTCGCGAGTTAATATGGAAAAAATACGGGATAAGTATCGTGCCGCGTAGATGGGCCCACATCCATAGCGCTACGGATCGTCTCCATTTCCATATTTAAAGGGCTCTGGTGGTTCGCTGAAACCCTAACAAGCGTATTCGTTTCTGTCCAGCTTGCGCCGATTCTCCCCTGAAAATTCTAAACATGGCTCGCCGGAGCTCTGGTATGCAAGTTTCCGATCTATGCTTATTCTCATCAACCACATAATTCAAGCACCGTTTAAACTTTCATTGCAACTTTTTTTTTATTATTGTAATCTTGCATCTCAACGTTTTGTATTGAGAAGAAAATGAATTCGGTGTATTGCTTGTTGTTGATTCGATTGGAGGTTTCGATAGCGTAGATCGTACTCTTATGGTTGAAATCTTATAGAAATTGTGAGGATTTAACGCTACAATCGTCATTCATTTTGGGGAGATATGATAGGGAAATGACTTTGCGTCTAGTTGGCCCGGAGAATGCCGTTTCGGTTGAATCTGCTACCCGATCTACAGTTTTTTCTTGGAAATTGAATTTTAGAATATGATTAATTAACTTTATCGGTCGCACATAATTGATTTTTGTTGTGAATAATAAGAATTGGTGGAATTTGTGCAAATTGTTCATTTTCAGATTTTCTAGTTGGATCTCCAAATTTTCTGGTTTGCTACAATTTCATTTTTTGTATAGTAATGAATTATCAATAGCATCTTAGGTTTTGAAATCATGTTTGTGTTTGATTTGTTATTTGTCATAATTTGTGTTGCAGGAAGATCTTCTGGTTTTGGCCGAGCCCCTGCTCCTCGCCGGGCTCCAGCTCCTGCCCCTGGTAGCACTCTTTCTCATACTCATTTATGAACTCATATGAATGTCTATCATCATTTATTTTATTCCATTTGCTTTCACTTTGTTCTCTGAGTAATTCTTATTTTACCTAGGATTATAGTTATCCTTCTTATTGAGATGTTAAATGTCTAAAAAGTTCTTTGCCATTTGCATCTTGTGATTTTGTAATGTTTTATAAACTTGGTTAGAGTTGACACCTTTCATTCTTTTTTAACTTTAATTTTTTTTACAGTGAAAAATTCACCTCCTCCAGCTCCCGTGCAAAGCAGTGGTGGTGGGTCATTGTTGGGTGGCATTGGATCTACCATTGCGCAAGGTAATTCTCAATTTATGTTTTGATTAGTGATGTTTTGTTTGGCTAGGCAGTGCAATATTGTTGAATGATTGCAAGAAGAAAGCAAGGATTTAATCATAAGAGCAAGGTGGTAGGTTTATGTTTTTTTTTTGGGATACAACATCAAGAGAATTCCAGAGTGTCACATGTTTTGTAGATCTTTTCCATGTAGTTTTTAAACCTTTCAGGCAGCCATTTTTTTCTTTCTTTTGTTCTTAGCTATTCCCCTGCTATCAAGCAATGCAATGAGTACTATTTATTGTCAACTGGATCATTTCCATGGCTTTTTTAGGAATGGCTTTTGGTGGTGGAAGTGCTATGGCTCATAGGGCTGTGGATGCGGTAGTGGGCCCACGCACTGTTCAGCATGAAATGGTTGCAGCTCCAACACCTGGTGCTCAAGCTGCACCTGCAACCAGCAGCCTTGGTGGTTCTGATGCTTGCAACATGCACTCCAAGGCTTTCCAAGATGTAAGTGTGATTTCATTATCTTCCTTTACGTTACTTTAACATTGTTTCCTAAATGATCCTTTAGTACGGATTGTATGTTTGGTAGAAGCTGCTTAGCTAAGTCTGTTGCTAAATACTTTCTCTGTCTTACAAAGACTTGTCTGTTCTGGGTTGCCTTTGACTGAAGTTATTTTAAATCTAATTTCTTACTAATTTGTTGAAAAATTATAAACAAAATTAATATATTAAAAAATTACAGCAGTTTTGCAAAGCAAGAGGGTATAAAATTAATTATTTCATCAAATAAGAAATGAAAATCTGGAAAAGGAAGTTGTCAATGTTTGACCTTTAGTTATCAAAAAAATCTTTTTTGGAAAAAAGCACTATACCTTTTTCTTTTTCTTGATTAATGAATGGAAAATACACTTGCCATTGCTTTCATTTGTGATGTATATTCAAACATTTGGTTCAAGGGATTTGGAAGGAAAAGAAAAGAAAATGGTTCTCTCATTTTCCTCATCAAAGTGGGAGGAATTTGGTTTTCCCTCCTCTTAGTACATTTTACCTTCTAAGTTTCTTTTCCACTAAAGATACAAGAAGAATTGTTTTCCACTTCATTTTCTTTTCTTTTTTCCCTTTCAAATTCCTTGAACCAAACATGATGTTAGAGTATAACGATTGTCATTCATTCACTACATCAATTTCAACCAAACTTTACCTTGCTTAAGGTCTGGCTCTGAATGAGATTGATTACACGTGCTTTGTTTTGCTCTTATGTCCAGTGCATAAACACCTCTGGGAGTGACATCAGCAAGTGCCAGTTCTACATGGACATGCTGTCGGAGTGCCGCAGGAATTCAATGCTGAATGCCTAAGCCTCTTGTTTTATGTTTGTTTGCCCCTCTACGAGGCCCTGAAGCTTGATTGATTATGGTGATAAACAAAGTGGTGTGAAATTTCACTTCACATATGTTATTAGTAGGATTGATGCCATGTACCAATATGAATTGCTTCCAATAAGTGTTTGAACCTCCTTTTTTGTTCGTTTTGAACCTAAAAAATTGGGTTTTCTGTTTACCCATTATATCCTTTATCTTCTGTGGTTATTTTTTTCCCTCTCAACTTTCATTTTGAGTTTTTGTGTGGTCTGATTTTTTTGCCTATTAGACGTGTCTTCATCCTGAATTAAATAAGAATGGCACTCTTTGTGCACCTAAAACAGCATTTTTTTAAAAAATATAGTTGGTTGTATTAGACCAATAAAATTTTGTGTTTAATTGAAAGACTTTAAAGCCTCGTTTGGTACACGGAATTCAAATTATGGAATTGGAATTGAGTGTTTCAATTCTAATTCTGGTGTTTGGTAACACAAAAATTATGTGGATTTGGAATTGGTAGTGCAAAAAATGAATTAAAATTGATGGATTCAATTCTATCGAATTGAATCCCAAGGAATTTCAATTCTAAGTCTACTAATTCCGTATACCAAACGGATCCTAAGTTATTGTTTTTATTGTTGACTTGATCTAAGTTTACCATGTGGTTTTTTAATGTCGGTCTTGATTAAGTCTTGGGATATGTTATGATATGAGTTATTTCGAAGAGAATTTTTGGATATTTTTGGTTCTCCATTTGTAAAATTGAAGATTTCTATTTTCTTTAATTCATCTCCTAAACTCCCATCATTCCTCAGTCCATGCACCCTTATCCCTGGTGTCATCAGGACTCCAGTGTTTAATCTATGATTGGAGGTTGTTGGTAATGGATCACGGAAGTAGGTGGTGGTGGCAGTAGTAGTCGACTAGCTAGTGAAAGGGGTTAGTTTGGTTGATGGAGAGCTTAAATCTTTATAGCAACATCTCTAAAATTTGGGAAATATGGAGTCTTTTTAATTGAAGAATTTGTGATATTTCGAGATATGTAATTTGTTTTGTTTTTGGGGACAATTCTCATGACATGACCCGACAATGTATTGGGATTACTCGAGGAGTTCCGGTGCTTTATTCGTAAAAATGATGATGGTCTTATATCCCCTAACAGCTAAACTCTTCACATGGTCTCGACCCGAACGCACTCCTCCATCCCCTTCATTTGCACCCCACGAGTAAATCTTGACTTTGGTATCAAATTTTGACTCCAAAATCAAAATTAATGTGCAAAGTGCAATAGAAGGAGGTGGGTGTTATTCAGACCGGGGCGAGGGTGAGAAAGTTTGAAAAGAGATAGATAGATTGCAAAATTATTTGTATCGATACAAACAATAATGTTGAGTTAATCAACGGGAACTTAAAAGAAATTGAGATATGGGGATAGCGCATGATGGGTGTGGACGCAGGGAAGGTAGAAGGTGATGAGTGGGGGTGGCGGGGTAGCAGTGAATGAAGGTAGTAGGTGCCTGTGGCGTCAAGGTGGTGGGGGGCATGGGCGGTTGGGGGATGGGATGGGCTGAGAAAGAGGTATAGGGTGAAAATTATTTTCTTTCTACTAATGTTATCAAATACAGAAAAAAACGGAGTAGAATCAATTGTTTTTAAAAACATTTTTTCATGACTAAACACACCAAAAGTATAACATCTCCGGGCTCGCGCGCACTTTGATTTTTGCACTCCATTATATAGAGTATATTATTTATACATTTAAAGTCTTGTCTCTTTTTTTATACGGAATATATTTTTCATGGAAAATTTTATGGTGTACCTAAAGTCCACCATGAACCTACATATGATTCAAATAAATAATTCTTTACTACTTAAATATGCATATTTAAAAAAATTAAAAATAAAAAAATAAATTTTTTATGTGAGAAAATCCACAAAAATGATATGCACTCAAGGTGCACCATAGAAGCAATCTATTTTTATCTTTTAATTGATAAATAATACGGAATATAATTTATGTTTAGCATCAACGATTAGCTTGGATATTTTGAAAAAAACTATTCGACGGTATACTTTAACATTCACATTTTCAGAATTAATATACACCGTTAAAATGTTATTCAAAACACTAATAGTAATAAAAAACGTTGTTTCCAAATAAGGCCACAATCAATTAGTCATGTACCCGTTAAAAAAGTCATGTAACCGCCTATTTTTATATATCTACACTATACATCCAGGGGAATGATGTTTCTTTTACATCTCTATGAATATTCATTGTCGAGTAACTAAGTACATATTTTTGGATAACAGAATATTCATTTTTGAATAACTAAAAATTCAATTTTGACACAGAATTTTAAAGAACTGAGTATTCGGTTACATAAAAATGAGTATTCACTTGCTTGAAAATGAGTATTAAGTTACTCGTAAATGAACACTCGTCGTGGTTGTACCAGAAACACCGCAGAACGCCTATTTCTTTATCTTTTTTCATAGATATACATTTTTTTAAAAATTATACGGAATATATTTAAAGTATATTCATAAATTAATTTATTAGACCATTTCTACCTGTATAGTCACTGATCTAGGCAGAAGCTGAGTATTCCCTCTCCCGCAGAAACACCACTTTCTAATGGCGACCTCCGCCGTGCTCAGATCCATCCGCCGCCGCGATCCAGCTTCCTCTCTCATCTCCGCCTACAAAAACGTACGCTCTTCAGCCGCTTCTTAAATTTATATATTTTCTCGTTATCTAAGCGGCGATTATAAACTTAACTCCCTTTTGGATCAATAATTTCTCTCTCTGTAGATTTAAATCTTCCTCATTAGTGAGATGTTTGGCCGTTTTCTATTGATCAGTTTTTATCTAGAAGTGGATCATTTGATTCTTAATTACATACGATAAGTCTCATCTTGTTGTCCGTGGTTTTTCTTCCGTTTTATGCAAAATCCGGGCGTTCTTCGTGTTTATATTTTCTATGGTGTTTTTGTTTGATAACAGTTTATGATCGTTGGAATTCTTCTACAATTCGCATCTAATAACTTTTATGTTACATTAGTATTAAAGGTAAGAAAAAAAAGGTCTAAGATCTTATGGATAAAATTTAAGGGCTTCAAAATGAGCATCCCATTCATAACAATTATTTCAATACGCCATGCCGAAGGACTGGTCTTAATAGAAAGAATCCATTATCGTCAATAAATTAATATGAGCCTAAGTACTGAGATGGGAATATTCTATCAACACTAAAATTATACTGAGTATGATGGTAATCAGGCATTTTTTCAGCTTTTCCTGCAATTTTTTGGAATGCACTTTTTTAGATTTTGAATTCGTATAGCTTGTTTCACCTTGGAAAACTGCTGAGAAACTGACTTTAGATAGGAACTTTTGGAGGTCGAGCATTTGTGTTGTACGGTAGGCCTAGCTAGAAGCACTTTGCTGTGTGTGTAGGTTTTGTACAATCATTTAGATAGTATAGGTTGTGTGCTTTGGATCCTTCTCTCCCTCTCTCTCTCTCCATCGTTGTGTGCTCTTTTACTTTTCCTCTTGTCATCTCGTTTGTCTCCCTTTACTTCCATATGCTTTACTACTCTTACTCTCTTATTTCTGAACCAAGATTTTAGTTTGTTTTGTAAACCGGAAGTTTTGTGGGAATAACCTCTCTACCCGTTGGGTGGGGGTAAAGTCTGCAAACATCTACCTCCTCCGGGTAAGGTGTTCATACATTAGCCGCACGCAGAGCCCACTTTTGATATTTATTCGGTTTTTGTTGGTATTGTTTTTTGATTCATTCTCTTGGACTGGTTCTAATCTGTTGCAATGACTTCATTCAAGGAATTTTATATTTCTTTGAATGAGCTCTTTTCCTACCGCTCGAATCCCCTTATCTTACTGGTAATTTATTTTTTTCCTGCTTGAGGAATTCTCTTTTTTCATCAACTTATCATTTATAATTGAGAATAAGTTGGTGCCATCATTCTCTTAGCAAAATTTCAGGTGTAGCTTCTCTTTTTTTGGTTTGAGAATAGGAAGAACCTGCTAAAAGTTACTCTCAAAGTGTACTGATTGGTTTTTTAATGTCAATATTGACGTGGTCATCTTCTTAAAAGATTGTAATATTCATTTATTATTTTCATATTTTTGATCTTGTTAATATTTTCATCCTCGTGCTCATGCTTGCAAAATTTCCTCTTTTTTTAAATTGCTTCTTTCTTCCCCTATTGCTCACACCTGCAAAGAATCAGTGAAACAATGAGTTCAACTTCAAAATCCAATCCATTTGCAACTTTTGAAAAGAGACATCAAGCTCCAGGAAAGCCAAATTCAAGAGGGGGTTACTTTTGCTTATACAAACCAATTTCTCGTACTTATACTAAAAACCTATGAGAGTAATAGTTTCACTAGGTCACAAAAGCAAAAATTTAAATTCTTTTATAATCACATTTATACCCACATTTTTTCCCGTTATTCTCGCATATCAAATTCTCCAATCTGGTGTGTCAAACATATCTTGTTTGAACCTACCTCTTGAAGTGGACTTATACGAAGTTGATATGCATTATAATTATTGGGTATGTGAACATGGGATTTGGGGGAGTATTATACGAGAGTATGTAATATGCATGCTTCGAATTTGCTTAAATTCCGTAGAAACTATGTATGCCTTACTTCCACCAAAATGGATGGAGTCGTTATTTTTAAAACCATTTCACTATGTTTCTATTCCATAGCTTTAGCAGCTCTCAAATGTGTCCATTTCTCTGCCACTATGAGTGTGGGATGTAGTGATGTTACACGATTGTTTTGTTTACGTTTATTGAACTAAATGTCTATTCAACATTGGTGTGCAGTTCAGTGCAAATACCAGTTCATCATGTGCACCAGCATTTACTGATCCTAGATATGGGAGCCTTGTTAGGAACTTTAGGTATTTCTAATTAATCACTTCTGAATTACCATCATTTCGATGCACCTATACTCTTCTTGGTCTCACCAAGAACGATTTTGTTTTGATGTAGCTCAAAATCTGCCGGATATTCAATTAGTGGTATTGATTTTGGTTCCATGAACTCCCATGGCTCTATTATGGGGAGCAAGGTATGATGGGATTTTTTCATTTGTCTTCCAGGATCTACTTTTATTTTTGTGCTTTTAAGCTTTTGTCACTGTTTAAAAGTTACAAAGCTAGGACTTGTTTTGAGTGCCGTTGGAATTACTTTTTTTTGAAAGGGGAATTACTTATTTTCAAACAAGTGTTCTTTTATAGAAAAATAAGTAGTTTTACTTTATAAAGGAAATGAAAAAAAAGACTTTCAGTTCTATAAAAAGTGAGTTTTTGTATGCATTTAAGAATGCACTTTACTGGGCTGTAGCTTTCTAAACAGAAAAAAACTGACAAAACAAAAAAGCATTTATAAAAGCACTTATAGCAGTTCTATTGATCCTGTGCACCTCTATTATGTATACCCCTTATATTATTAACATTTCTTTTACCAGAAAGTAATATAAAAAATATATGTTCTAAAATGTCTAGGTCACCCCATCCGTGGCTGCTTTTTACCAGAAAGGATTGTTTGTTGGTGTGCCATCCAAACATCATGAGTTTTACCGGGTAAGAATAGTCATGCATTGGGGTTACAATAGGGGAGGCAAAAGTATCATTTTCTTCACTACCCGTTCATTCCATCTAATGATAAATCGATCTGGTCCATCCATTCAAAAATTAATGATAAGCTGATGGCAGATTTAATCTAATCCATCAATTGAGTGTTAAGGCATCATCATATTATGCATTACATTACCTTCTCTACACATGAAAAACAGTATGGGGATTGGTGGGTTAAGTAAGCACCCATGAAGAAATTGTTATTGAATGGATTAGATTTATTTTCTTCAACTCATATGGATGTGTTGAAATTTTTATGGGTTTTAAATAGAACATAAATTGATTGTTTTCTATCCATCATTCCACCCACTATCATCTCAATAAAAATATGTCCAGGAAATGAATTTTCTTCAAGGCATCATGGATGTGTCGAATTTGTTTTCTTAGATTGAAACTCACCACGCTTTATTGTGTTAGAACAAAAACTATTTTTTGTTTTTATTTTCCACACTTTCAACCAAACACGTGGAAATGAATTTATTTTCGAAAACTCATTTTCCAGAACTCATACTCATTTTCCATCTTTCCAAACAGAGCCTAAATGCATTTCCTTACTTTTCAAGGTACAAAAACATGTAATGTTGGAAGGTGTAATATTGATGAATTGGCAAGATCACGAAAAAAATATTCGTACGCATCGAATCCTAAAAGAACAATATTCGATTTGGAAAAACGACTCACCCCACTGTATGTATTTGCTTCATAACATTTCAGGATTTCTCAACGATTGCAGCAGACAAACATGACAACTTAGCTGATGACAATAAAAAGGTCCTTCGTCCATTATCACCTCATCTTCCAGTGTATAAGCCTCAGACCAATTCAACCTCATCTATTCTTAACCGATTCTCTGGAGCTTATCTTGCTGCTCTTGTGGTTGGTTTTCATGTTCTCTACCTGAAAGCCGGCTCGGTTAGTCTCAGCTACAGTAACTTCTACCAATTCTTTTTCTATTCATCAAAGCTAAGCCAACTTTCTCTCGAGATAGCTGCTGTGGCCATGGCCTATCACGTGGTCTACGGGGTCCGTCATCTGGTGGGAGATTTCTCGCGATACCTCTTTCCTAAAATAGGGCGAAGCAAGTTGAAATGAGGTAATAATACTAGAACTGGTAGGAGAACGGGTTTTCTGGAATAAATAAAAACACTAGAAACGGTGCTGCCCAGATTGGTAGTGCCTGTATGGGTCTTAGAACCGTTATATTTTTCTCCCACACCCACATGTGCGTGAGAGAGATCCAATGGTGAACTGGCTCATATGGGCACCGCCCGGGCTCCTCTTCCGTGCAATTTGCACATGACATACATAAGCAATTGGTTAGTAGGGTTGTGTACTTGGTTTGCCTGGGTTTAATCTCAACTTTACTTACTTTTAAGTGGAAATGGCTCATGAAAGTTTTTGCCTGCTGTGGTCTTGAACTGGCCATGCAATGTTTTCTTCTGCATTGATAAATAAATATTGTGGTTTGGATTTAGCATTCCTTTTAGATGTAACATTTCTAGCAAGAGTCATGCTAGGGATACACCAAATCGTATATTTCATTTGTATACCGTTGATCATAATCATTGTATTTTTATTCATTTTTTAATTTTTTTCCCACTCTGGAGATTGTGTGGTGGAGATGGAGTGGTGTGCATTTAGGGTACTTTTTGGTATACCCTTAGCATTTTTCATTTAAGACATGTAAATTGGGTTAGAAAGGAGAAGATAAGAAAATGCGAGAAATATGTAGTGTCAAAATGAAATAGTGATTTTCCTCACTTTTTTGTGAAGAAAATGAGAGAATATTGTGAACTCATCCCACTCGACCATGTCTTTCTATGTCTTGTCTATAAGAACCAAGCAAAGAATTATTGAAAAGTAATTTCTCACTACTTTATCCTACCAACCAAACAAGATTAAGAATTTTGAATTTATTGACTTTCATTTTCTTACAATAATTGACTGGATTTATTTTTGACTCTATATGCAACCTGAAAAAGACCCGATGAGAAGTATAATGTGATAAAAGTTACCTTAAAAAAGTATAATGTCATAAGTTTTAATATATAAACTTATCTTTCCAGATAAGTTTTTAATGCCAGTATATTCTTATTTTGATTTATTTTTCAAAATTATAAATATAGTATTGTTGTACACATCTAAGAATTACTCAAAAAAATAAAGTCTAATAATAGTTTTAATAAATATATGCGTTAGTATGAATTTAATATATCTTCTTTCGTGATGTATTTGCTTTATTCTTTTGTTAAAATAACACATTCAAACTACTTTTTTTTATAGAGATTTCAATATAATCTTTATCACAATAACTTACACTTTCTCTTTTTAAAAGTGAGCTTTAAATTTGGCTAACGCGTGCTAGATATATCTCACTAGTGACTTAGATATATATCCCACTAATGGCTAAGAGCACTAGAAGTACTCGTAACGTTGAGGGTGTTTTTTCCGTTTTTAACGCTAAGGGGTGTCAAACACCACCCTCCAAAGACTTCATCGGGACGTTCGTGGTGCTTTGTCAAATGTTTAACAGGCAGAAGAAGGACATTGAAGGCGGACCTCATCTAATTAGCTATACTATCTTTACAAAAAACATTCCCCATACGGAGTGTGTATACACACACACATAAAATCATTCTCATTTTCAAAAATAAAAACCCAAACATAATTCTTTATCTTTATTTTCTCTCTCCTATCTTACAAATATCTTCAACTATTTATCTTATTTTTTAACTATAATCACGAATCCATTCGAATCCTCTATCCGTGCGTCAAACGAGTATGTGATATGGTTTTTACAAATGTGTGGGAATAGTCCGACAAATTTATGACATCTGAAGATATCAAATCTGAATACTTATTACGTTTCAACAAACATAAAATTTTTTCAATGTCGAGAAATATCAAAACCTATGTATTTCAAGCCCAACCAACGGGCCTTTGGTGACTGGGCCGATTTACGTAAGCTACCCTATTTTAGCTTTTCTGTATTAGTGTCAAGCCCAACCCAAATCATCTCTACAATTATTCCGCCCTAGCTTCCCTTCCGCTCTCTGTCTTTTCTTCTCCGGACCTGGGCATCATCATCATTCATCCATTGAGATGGGGAAGAAGAGAGTTGCAGAAGCCGAAGAAGGATTGGATAATCCAGCCATTAACAATATCGGTTCGGAGCTTCCGGAGAAGAAGATGAAGACACAAGCTTCTGGTACAGAGGAGACCGGTGCCCCATCATCCTCAACGAAGGAGACCGATGCCCCATCAACCTCAACGAAGAAGAGTTCTTCCAATCCAATGGAGAATAAGAAGGAGAGGAGGCTAAAGAATAAAACCAGACACCTGGAGGAATCGGAGATCGCGGAGCCGAAGCCTAAGAAGATAGCTCTGGAATTGAAAAATGACGGGAAGATGGAAACTTCTCCGAGTAGTAGTGGCGGTGGTAATTTGCCGCAGTTTCACATTGGCGTGTTCAAGGACCTCTCGGCTGCGGATTCTTCCCTCAGAGAAGCTGCTGTGGAGAAGCTGGTTACTGAGTTGCAGGAAGTGCAGAAGGCTTATGATCAACTGGAGGATAAGGAAACTGTTGATGGGGAACTGAAGTTGGAGGCTGATATGGAAGATGGGTTGGATATGTGTGCCCCGTCTCTGAGGTACGCAGTTCGGAGGCTCATTCGGGGAGTTTCTTCGTCAAGAGAGGTGTGTTTCAGTATACCACCCTATAGGAATTCATTGTTTCTTCTCTGTAGTTACTATTGTGAAGTATATTTTCCTGTTCTTCATGTTTGCTACGGAGTATTAAAAAGACTTAGCTCTGCAACTATGACTTGTGAGTACTTGAATATCTGGTTGCTGGTGACCTTTGAGTCACCACCCAATCAGCACATGTGCTTGTTTCGCTATGCATTTTACAAACTGCACATCACCAGTCCTGACTCCCTACGAATGAAGTATTTAGTGATGAATTAAGTGGTATTTTTTTGAATAGTTTCAAAAGGGGTGTCTTTCTATTAGAAGTTCTATTTTAAGAGACTTTTGGCAATTCCTTTTTTCCCTTTTTTCACGTGGATATTTCATATTTGATTTATGATCCCTCTGACTTTTATGAATTGCAGTATGCAAGGCCAGGATTTGCATTAGGCTTGAGTCTTTTGGTCAGTGCAGTTCCTAGCATAAGAACTGACTCACTATTGAAGCTAATTGTTCATTTGGTCGAGATCACTTCTTCAATGAAGGGACAAGTAAGAGAATCCCACCCTATACCTTCATGTATTTAGGCTCTATTGATTTGAAGGAAAAAGAATGATTTTCAGATTTTCCCGAAGTAGATTTTGTATTCCTTTTATCTTGCATCCACAGGAAAATGAACTCATTTTTTTAAAAGAAGCATTTTCTTGGAACATTTTAATTTTTATTTCTTTAATCAAATATTATATTATGCATGGAAAAACCTATTTTATGATAAAATTTGTCCACAGAAATTATTTAAACGGATTTTTTTTTTCAAAGAGAGTTTTTTTCCAACAATCAAGCATATCTTAAGCCCGAATTCTATTTTAATTTTTTGATACTGTTATTTGAAAATGATATGTTGGTTTTGTAGGAAACAAGAGACTGCCTTCTAGGTCGCTTGTTTGCTTATGGAGCTATTTCGAGATCAGGAAGACTCACCGAAGAGTTTATTAGAGATAAAGATACTCCTTATATCAAAGAATTTATTAGTTCTGTACTTGTGCTGGCAAATAAGAAGCGATATTTGCAAGAACCTGCCATCTCAATTATATGGGAATTAGCGGAGAAGGTACTTTATAGCATAAGAAATGTGTTGCAAGCTAATTAAGTTAATGATCTTCCAGTTGCAATTCTATTTTATGATTTGTGCTTCATGAATTGAGCACAATTCATATGATCATCAGTGATAACAATTAAAAGCATTCAATTTCTCATTTTTTATGAGCTGCTAAATTATTTATCAATTGTTGCATACGTCCATCACGACTTCACCTTTTGATCTTAAACAAGTAAGAATTATTTTATCTTGTTCTCCTATGTCGTTCTGTGTTTCCATCTTTTTAATGCTCCACTTCAACTTTTAATCCAGTTACCGGTTAAAGCACTGCAAAATCATTTTTTTGAAGCTCCTGAAGTTCAGGAGTGGTTTGGAAGTGCCACAGAAAAGGGAGATCCTGATGCTTTGCTTTTGGCTCTCAAAATGCGAGATAAAGTTGGAGCTGATGATAACACGTTCGGAAGGCTACTCCCTTCTCCATATAGCCCCAGCAATTTATTTTCTGCTGATCATCTATCCTCAATTGCACTGTGCTTAAAGGTGAGTACTCTCCAAAAAGCCCGGATTTGATGCTAGAGCTGGGTTCTCTTGGAAACAGCCGCACTTCCCCAGACCCTAAGACCCTACATTTGTGAGATTCTACTGGGTTGTTGTACTTAAAAAGTCCATTTTGACCATGAACTCTTCAAACGTCTCATCTATCCCTGAACTAAAGCTCAACAATGATAGTATAATCCTCATTTACTTTGGGCATGTCATGTATGCAGATGGAACACTAGCACGATTAGGTACATTTATAGAGCTGCAAGCTATGATAAGGTCAATTGCAATTGCAAATCCACATTATAAATCAACAAATTTCCACCTAAATTTATCAATATGTGAATTTATGATGTTTTTTCTTGGTGTTGAAGCTTGTTTATCATTGTTTTTAAATTTTTCATATACCTAACCCTATTAGGGTTGAGAGCTTGTTAGGTTGGATCTGATCTGATTCAAAACTGGGATCTGGTCCCATCTCATCTGATTCCAATAACAATGATGAATAAGTAATATGTATTGCATAAGTAATAAGTTGAAGAGAACAAGCTCTTAATCCATCTGCGTACAAGATCAATCGTGAATGTCAAATCTATAGTCATTGTTTAGTTTACTAGTTTAATGATTTTTTGAAGAGTTCGTGTTCATTTAGGGTATTTTGTTAAAAATGCAAGGTCATATTTGGGTATTTGGTCTACTGTATTCCTCTTATCTTGCAGTCTTTCTTTAGCTAACATTGTTACAGATTGGATTGTTTTTTGACTTTTAAGTTTTATGGGATACTTAGGAATCTACATTCTGCCAGCCACGAATTCATAGTGTATGGCCCACCTTGTTGAATATTCTATTACCTGATAGTGTTATAAAAGACTTTGATCCTGCATCATTGTTAAACTCTACAAAGAAGCACAAAAAGAGCCGCAAGGGAGAAGATGATATTGAGAAAAGCCTTAGAAACTTTTGCGAGGTCATTCTAGAAGGATCACTTCTCTCATCATCACATGATCGCAAAAATTTGGCATTTGATATTCTGCTTTTGCTCCTACCAAAGCTGCCTGCACATTATGCCAACATCGTGTTATCTCGCAAACTAATCCAGTGCTTGATGGATATTCTTTCAGCTAAAAATACCTGGCTTTTTAAAGTTGCAGAGCATTTTATGAAAGAATTGTCTGAATGGGTAAAAAATGATAATGTCAGAAGAGTTGCTGTAATTGTTGCCTTGCAACGGCACAGCAATGCGAGA